TACTGACCAGGCTCAACCCTGCTTAGCTTCAGTGGGTAACCAGTCTTGGGCTGCAGGGTGATATGGCTGTAGATTGTCACGGTACCATTCACAAGGTGTAGGGCAGTTCTGTATTGACTAGACACACCTGCCCAGACTGTAACACCAGACAACAGTGGCTGATGCTACCCTTGCAGGTCATCTAGCACAGTGAATCTCAACCTTTTGGCGTACCGGACCCCAGTCCAATTCAGAACCATCCTCAAGGACCCCCAGAACAAAATTGACTCGTATCATTTGTGTCTTTGTGAGGACCAAATGCAGTCAAGTATAATTCAGGTTAGCTGACTTGTCCAGTATTTGGCCATATCATCAGCTATATTGGATTTTTCTTTCATGGGAACATGTCATGTCAAAATATACAACATTTATACAAAAATTCATACTTTATATGGACCCCTTGGCCTTATGTCAAGGACCACTAGGGGTCCACGGACAGCTGGTTGAGAAACACTGATCTAGCACACAGACCATGCTGATGGAAGCGGTTTCGAATGGTCTGACGTGACACTCGGGTGCCTCTCACTTCCCTTAAACGTGCCTGGAGTTGAGTGGCATTCATAATCCGGCTCCACAGGGCACTGTTCACAATGAAGCAGTCATCAGCATGTGGCCAAAGGATGTCCGCTTCTATGCCTTTCTGTGACTCTTCCAGTTTCTCTGTGTCTCTGTCGCAACCTGCTGATGACACTTTAAGCTCAGTGGCAACTTCCCTCTGAGAACATCCCGTTTGAAGCCTCGCAATGGCCAGGTACTGTTAATCAATTGTTAGGTGTGGTCTTGGTCTCATGATGTCAAAATGTGAACAGCATGATGAAGAGGACTGTTTAAATACAAATTGTCATTGAACCAGAACATTTAGTGGTCGATTCATGGATCAGACACTTGTGATTTTTGCGGTTAATCACCTCGTTAGAGAACAGCATGTTATGCAATAAGTACTGAAACATTTAACAGTTGGACACGTGCATTCAAAAGTTTAGACGAGGTCAAATTACGTTCACCTGAGGTCATAGTGCATTTTAGGTGCATTCTGAAATTTCACCCGAAAGTTGAATATCCCTAATATATATATATATATATATATATATCAGAATTGTGTTTAAATTTTATCTTATTTGATTTTTTAAGTATAAATTGTGTAAGTTGTGGGTGTTTATACAAGAAACTACATAGATGCCTTTCAATTTTTTAAATAAATGTTAAAAAATATTAAAAAGCCCTGCTTTAAGTAAGATATTTTAGAATTGTAGAAATGCCACTAGGTGGCGCTGTTCGCAAATGGTTGATTCCTTTAGAGCTCATACTTTGTCGAAGGAGCATCTCATTGTTATAATAAACTGTATTTGATAAATGTGCATTTGATAAATGTACTTTTAGTCTACCTAATATAAATGAATTAAATTGGAAACAGTGAACAAAATCATTTTGCAACATAACTGTGCTGCTGGTTTTATTGAACTCAACTGAGAGGACGATAATAATAATCATCAAACATTAATACATCATAGTCCATTTCACATCTCTCCATTTTATCTGCATAAATGTCCGCTGAACAAAGTTAAGCTATTAATATGTTCCCAAATACATGTGTACATGAAAAAAAAAACATTCTCCCTTATTTAGAACATTAATTATGATTATTACCAATATACAGTACATGGTACAAAGCAAACCATCTGATTATTCTGGTTCAGAAATGTCTCTAGCCACTGGCATGCTGCATGTTCACTACAACAAACCTCATTGTTGTTTTGCTTCAGTCGTCGATTAAAAATCCAAGTAATAAGAAGCCGCTCTTCACCATAGCCAAAAACAGAGACAAAAGACTAATAAAAAATGAAATAAGATAATACAAAAACCAGAGTTAACATACAGTCTACACAAAAATACCATAACACAATCATTTTAAAAATACATATGCTCAAAATAACATCAGTAATTAATACAATTATTACCTCATTATATTTTTTTGCAACTCCTCAAGGGAAAAGTTTTCAAATTGAAACATCTATTTGCTGGTTACACACTATTGAAACCATTACGCAGTATGTTTTATTAATTCGAGTTTTAGGTTTTGCTGATCAGCATCAATTTCGTAATCAATGGGGAAAAGCATTCCTTTTTTCAACTATTTCACTGATCCGCAAATTAAAATTATATTACATTATCATAATGGTTTATTCACAGTTTAAAACTTCAAAGTCAACATGAAATCAAAATACTCTCTTAATACACATTCCTGGATTTATTCTGATTCATTGTGCATGTTGTTCACCATCCTATGGAAGCTTGTTTCCATCACAGGATAAAAAATAAAAAAGGTATTGCGACTTTTTATTTCATAATTCAGACGTTTATCAAGAGAGTTTATATCTCTTGATTCAGACTTTTTTCTCGCAAAACATAATTGCAATATAAAAACTCCGTAATGTGAGATATAAACACAAAATTGTGAGATATAAACATAATTATGAGATATAAACTCAGAATTCAGAGATATAAACATAATTGCAAGATAAACACTCAGAATTGTGAGCTAACTCAAAATTGAGATATAAACACATAATTGTGCATATCTAAACATAATTGCAAGATATAAACATAATTGTGATTTAAACTAAGACTTGTGAGAAATAAATTCAGAATTGTGAGATTAACTTATAACTGAGATGTAAACTCAGAATTGAAATATAAACTCAGAATTGTGAGAAAAAGTCAGAATTACGAGAAAAAAGTCAAAATTGCAAGATATAAAGATATAGAGTTTATATTTCACAATTCTGTCTTTTTTTCTCGAATATAAATTCAGAATTTTGAAAAAGAGTCGCAATTATCTCTTTGATATTTTCAATTCTGTAGCGGAAATGCGCTTCCATAATACCATCCAATCAGTTCCAGATGAAAAAATCAAGATGTTTTATTCACAAATATGTAGAATTACAACTGCAAAATTGCTTGCGAAACACCATTTCATGTTGACTTCAAAGAAGCATCAGTGCTGAAGTTAAATCTGGTTCTTAGCAATCAAACAGAAGCTAAGACAGACGATGCAAATGCAAGATATATTGATTATTGTGCTATTTCGAATTGCATTCAAACATCTGAAGATCTCCTTCCCCTCATGTAACCTGACGCTGAATGTTTAATTCCTAGATTTTTGGTGAGAACTGGCTGATATCTTCAAATCCTCCAGTGTGCCGAGCCTGTAAAGCTCCCGAAGGAACCTGATTCGGACTTCCACTGTCCCACCACAATGATGCCACTGCCGTGGTGCAGTCAGTCCCAAACAGCTCTGATTCTCCGTTCAGATGGGAGTCAGAGCTCACAGTCACAGAAGTGTCCGTCTCTCTCTCGGGACTCTAGAGGTTGTTCTTCTCTGTGCTCTCCGCTTCTGTGTTGCGCGGGAAGTAGACGGTGGTCTTGTGCTCTTCGTAGCGGTCGATGTGCTTCAGGTGAACCACCATGTGCAGCGCGTAGGCCAGCACCAGCAGCAGGATCAGAGACGTGATCAGACCCATCAGGATGGCAGGAGTGAAGAAGGTCGCGCAGTCACTGGCCGCCGCAAACTTACTGGAGTGAACGGTAAACGCCTGGATCTGCGAGGAAAAACACAAGAAACAGCAGATGGTAAGATGTTGAATCTTTAAAAACTATTTTCCAGTTTATCTATCTATCTATCTATCTATCTATCTATCTATCTATCTCTGTCTGTCTGTCTATCTCTCTGTCTGTCTGTCTGTCTGTCTGTCTATCTATCTCTCTATCTATCTATCTATATTGTTCTATCTATCTATCTATCTATCTATCTCTGTCTGTCTGTCTATCTCTCTGTCTGTCTGTCTGTCTGTCTGTCTATCTATCTCTCTATCTATCTATCTATATTGTTCTATCTATCTATCTATCTATCTATCTCTGTCTGTCTGTCTATCTCTCTGTCTGTCTGTCTGTCTGTCTGTCTATCTATCTCTCTATCTATCTATCTATATTGTTCTATCTATCTATCTATCTATCTATCTCTGTCTGTCTGTCTATCTCTCTGTCTGTCTGTCTGTCTGTCTGTCTATCTATCTCTCTATCTATCTATCTATATTGTTCTATCTATCTATCTATCTATCTATCTCTGTCTGTCTGTCTATCTCTCTGTCTGTCTGTCTGTCTGTCTGTCTATCTATCTCTCTATCTATCTATCTATATTGTTCTATCTATCTATCTATCTATCTATCTCTGTCTGTCTGTCTATCTCTCTGTCTGTCTGTCTGTCTGTCTGTCTATCTATCTCTCTATCTATCTATCTATATTGTTCTATCTATCTATCTATCTATCTATCTCTGTCTGTCTGTCTATCTCTCTGTCTGTCTGTCTGTCTGTCTGTCTATCTATCTCTCTATCTATCTATCTATATTGTTCTATCTATCTATCTATCTATCTATCTCTGTCTGTCTGTCTATCTCTCTGTCTGTCTGTCTGTCTGTCTGTCTATCTATCTCTCTATCTATCTATCTATATTGTTCTATCTATCTATCTATCTATCTATCTCTGTCTGTCTGTCTATCTCTCTGTCTGTCTGTCTGTCTGTCTGTCTATCTATCTCTCTATCTATCTATCTATATTGTTCTATCTATCTATCTATCTATCTATCTCTGTCTGTCTGTCTATCTCTCTGTCTGTCTGTCTGTCTGTCTGTCTATCTATCTCTCTATCTATCTATCTATATTGTTCTATCTATCTATCTATCTATCTATCTCTGTCTGTCTGTCTATCTCTCTGTCTGTCTGTCTGTCTGTCTGTCTATCTATCTCTCTATCTATCTATCTATATTGTTCTATCTATCTATCTATCTATCTATCTCTGTCTGTCTGTCTATCTCTCTGTCTGTCTGTCTGTCTGTCTGTCTATCTATCTCTCTATCTATCTATCTATATTGTTCTATCTATCTATCTATCTATCTATCTCTGTCTGTCTGTCTATCTCTCTGTCTGTCTGTCTGTCTGTCTGTCTATCTATCTCTCTATCTATCTATCTATATTGTTCTATCTATCTATCTATCTATCTATCTCTGTCTGTCTGTCTATCTCTCTGTCTGTCTGTCTGTCTGTCTGTCTATCTATCTCTCTATCTATCTATCTATATTGTTCTATCTATCTATCTATCTATCTATCTCTGTCTGTCTGTCTATCTCTCTGTCTGTCTGTCTGTCTGTCTGTCTATCTATCTCTCTATCTATCTATCTATATTGTTCTATCTATCTATCTATCTATCTATCTCTGTCTGTCTGTCTATCTCTCTGTCTGTCTGTCTGTCTGTCTGTCTATCTATCTCTCTATCTATCTATCTATATTGTTCTATCTATCTATCTATCTATCTATCTCTGTCTGTCTGTCTATCTCTCTGTCTGTCTGTCTGTCTGTCTGTCTATCTATCTCTCTATCTATCTATCTATATTGTTCTATCTATCTATCTATCTATCTATCTCTGTCTGTCTGTCTATCTCTCTGTCTGTCTGTCTGTCTGTCTGTCTATCTATCTCTCTATCTATCTATCTATATTGTTCTATCTATCTATCTATCTATCTATCTCTGTCTGTCTGTCTATCTCTCTGTCTGTCTGTCTGTCTGTCTGTCTATCTATCTCTCTATCTATCTATCTATATTGTTCTATCTATCTATCTATCTATCTATCTCTGTCTGTCTGTCTATCTCTCTGTCTGTCTGTCTGTCTGTCTGTCTATCTATCTCTCTATCTATCTATCTATATTGTTCTATCTATCTATCTATCTATCTATCTCTGTCTGTCTGTCTATCTCTCTGTCTGTCTGTCTGTCTGTCTGTCTATCTATCTCTCTATCTATCTATCTATATTGTTCTATCTATCTATCTATCTATCTATCTCTGTCTGTCTGTCTATCTCTCTGTCTGTCTGTCTGTCTGTCTGTCTATCTATCTCTCTATCTATCTATCTATATTGTTCTATCTATCTATCTATCTATCTATCTCTGTCTGTCTGTCTATCTCTCTGTCTGTCTGTCTGTCTGTCTGTCTATCTATCTCTCTATCTATCTATCTATATTGTTCTATCTATCTATCTATCTATCTATCTCTGTCTGTCTGTCTATCTATCTGTCTGTCTGTCTGTCTATCTATCTATCTATCTATCGTTCTCTCTATCTATCTATCTATCTATCTGTCTGTCTGTCTATCTATCGTTCTATCTATCGTTCTATCTAGCTCGTTCTATCTATCTATCTATCTATCTATCTATCTATCTATCTATCTATCTATCTAAAATAATTAATAGTTTTCTATATTCCAAATTAAAAAGCATTTAATTTCACCCAAACTCCTCGTGTTCTTCCACACACTCTGGACTGTGAGCTTTTTAAAAAGACGCTGCTCTCACGCCAAACCACAAGCTTGTGTAACCACATTACACCCACCAGAGGCTAAAAATACAGCACAAGATGCTACAACTCCAGTATGAGGCGCTTCTCAGCGGAGGATGGAGGGAAAGAGTTGCCTGCCAACCTGGAAGTCGGTGAAGGTTATGTGCCAGTGTGCGGCGTGGTCGGTGTTGGCGCTGGGCACCAGCAGCGTGTCGTACTTCTGCAGGCTGCTGACGTGCTGGCAGTGATAGGAGTTGGTGGAGGGCGCGTACACATCTGTAGCGTTGAACGTGGCCTCGTGCGTCCAGTTGTAATGGATGTACACGTTATCCAGAGTGAACCAGTTCTGTCCCGCAGACTCGTAGAACGTGTTTGACATCTGTAGCCTGTGGAAATAAACACTTTATCTCACTGCAAAGCATTTTAAAAATAATTTCTGTTCTTCGATGAGAAGTGCAAACTGATTGTTTACTAGCACACACAAAAACATGTATATTTTAAACTCTAAATTCAGATTGGATGAATTACATTTGAAGATACTGTACATGAACTAATATTGACACATCTGTGATGACAAATAAAAAAAAAAATATTTGAAATTTGATACAAATGGTAACCATTAACATTCTATAAATCAATATAAAGAGGTTTGGATACATTTGGATACAATTGTATTCCATTAAATTCCAAATCTGTTTGTGACTGACTGCGATATTATTACTAATGAAAACCTCTTTATAATGTTAGGATGTTAATATTAAAATATTTTAATATTAAAAATAAAACATCATTAATGATTGAACATTGGTGCCTTTTGTCATATCGCTAAAATGTAAAATCATTGTATTGTAGTGATGTAGTGTATAAATATAAAATAACTACAATTTTATTTTTTATATATATTTATTATTTGTATATTTGAGAAAATGTAGTCATAAAAACTAATTAAAAATGCCATGAATTAAAATAAATAAAATTATAAAAATTAATTTATATGAAATAAATAAACAAGGAATAACCTGATAGACCTGATAGAGAGATCTTCCACATCGCCGAAACGGAGATTGAGTCTGGTGAGTAACAAAATATGTCAAAATTGTCAAAATATTGTACATTTATTAGCTGTCAAATTTTCCTTCTCAATTATACATCTTACACCAGGCTGAGGTAGTTTTTAGCTGGGTTTTCATTTATGTATGGAATATGTCTAGATAATATTTAACTCCAAAAACAAAAATGCATTGTGACATTAAGTAGAACAAAATATAATATATTATATTATAATCATATTAAATAATAATAACTATATATATATATATATATATATATATTATTTTTTT